GGCACTGTGAGATGCGAGGTGCCAGAGCTCTCTAGGGCTGGGGTGGGGGCGGAAGGAGCCAGGACAGGGTGAGTTGGCTTGTGACCCCGGCAAGCCCCTACCCCTCTGGTTGCCTGGGCTTCTCTCAACAAGGGCCAGGACGTACACCCCCATCCAGCCTGTTCTGCTCTGGGGGACAGAGGACTCGCGTCCCAAAGCCATTGCCACCAGGCGAGGTTCAAGGGTTCCCTCAGAGCCAGGCACTACGCCAAACCCTTCACGCACCCCCAGTCCTCCCCACCTTCGGGGCCACCCTTTCGGCCCCACATCCTGGACCTCGCAGCACGCCCCCCATTTGGATCCCCGGAGTCACAGGACCAGGTGTCACGGAGGAGCAAGACCATGCTCAGAGAGGGTGAGCGACCTGCCTGGAGTCACAGAGCCTGAGTGGGACCCAGCCCCACTCTCCAGGACGCTGAGTTCTGTCCCGACAACGGACTCGATGTTTCTCGCCCGACGCAGTGTCAGAGTCCAGCCTTGACCCCTCCTGCCTGCCGCCGCCCGCGTAGCCTTCTGAGACAGGAAGCAGGCTTCCGCACCTGACCCCCTGCGCACGGGACGCGCAGGGGCGCCGCAGCCGCCCCCTCCCTCTGGGCCCTGCCCCTCCTGGGCCGCTTACCCCTGGCTCACGGCCTCTCCAACAAGCTGGGAGAAAGTAGGCCAGAACAGACCTTAAAAAAAAAGAAACTGGCTCTGAGGCCTTCCACACCCTGACGCCGTCGCTTGTCCCAAGATGGGTGCCAGGCTTGCCTCCAGCCACGGCACTGTCGCGCCCCCTTCTGGTGGAGCCGAGCTGTGGGGGAGGGTGACCAGAGAATATCCCTCATCCTGCGGGAGGGACCTCCAGGGCACCCCTCCCAAAGCCCGAGAGACCCTAGCGTTCGGCCAGTGACACCCAGCTGCTCTCAACCCGACTCCCGCCCCCAGCCGGGGTCCCCTTGTCCCCGGGGCGGGGGGTACAGAGGCCTTAGCTGTCAACTAAGGACGATGCTTGTTGTCACCTCTACAAGCAGGGTGTGCCGGAGACACCGTTCCGGGCATCGGGAAAGAAGCCAGAGAGACTCAAGGTCAAGGCGGAGCCTGGGCCATCCCAGGGCAACCAGGAGGAGGGGACCTAAGGAGTACCATGAGCACAGTGCGGGGAGGATAAGGGAGAGAGGGTGGGCGGGGGGTTATGACTCTTGGGGAGGCTGCCCGGGGCCCGGACGCCTGGAACCAGGTGCAGCTGGGGCGGCAGCAGACGGCTTGAGCCCCTCCGGCTGGTTTTCCGGTCTCCCTGGCCGCTCCCCGCCTGAGGGCAGGCTCGACACCTCTCTGGTCGGCCTCCATCCCCCTGCCCGGCCCAGAGCGGGAAATCAGCGAAAGGTGGGTTGGGGCGGCCTGAGAATGAGCAAGAGCCGGGGGCGAGGGGAGCCGCAGCAGAAGGAACAAGACCCTGCTAAGATTCGGGCAAACCGAAGAGTCCAGCTTTCTTTCCGTGGGCGCCAGACACAGAGACCAGGGCCGGGGCCGGCGCCCCGGTGGACAGATGAGCTTCGTCCACAAGACCGCGCACCCAAGACCAGTTCGGAGGAAGCTGAACTGTGTCATCTACTGGGCAATGCTGGCGACGCTCACGGACATGCCTCCTCGCACCCTTGACAGGTGAGCGTCACGCGTCACGGATGGCTCCCAACCACCTGCCACGCACGGGGCTGGCTGTACCCTGCGGACGCTTACACGTCCCCTAGGGGTCGGGCACCAGGAGCACGCCCGTTCTGCAGACGAGGAAGCCGAGGCTCAGGTAAGCGAGGGGCCGGCCTGTCCCACAGTCCGGGAACAGAGGTCTCGCCAGCAAGTGGGGAGAAAGTGGGCCAGACCCCCAAAGGAGCAGTTTTTGAGCCGCACTGGCTGCTGCTGCTCTGATTCCCGGCTGGGCGGGGACCCCCACCTCTCTGGAACCTTCCTGTGGCTCCCGGATGCGAACCGTGCCAGGAAGGGGAGGGACGGGAGCAGGAGGCACTGATGACTTATAGCATCTCATCTGCAGAGGGGGGAAAACATCTCCAAGACGGTGCAAAGCCCGAACGGTGGAGGGCTGCGGCCGAGCGGAATCCAGGTGTGTCTAGCAAGGGCCACACTGCAGAAGCTTTTAGACCGTGCCCTGCCCGCTCACACACACACACACACACACACACACACACACACCAGTGGGACGGTCTTTTCTCTTGGGGGGGGGACGTGGGGGTTCACCACCAAGGCTGGCGGCCAGGACTGAGTCAGGCGATGCCCTCCAGGCACCCCTCGGGGCCCCGAGCTGCGCTGCAGCCAGCCCTGTAGCCTCCGACCCCAGGGGACGCTTCTTCTATCTGCCAGGACCCCAGAACCAGTTGTGGGTCTTCCCCTGTGGCTCCTGGGAACCCCCGTCAGGGACGTGAATTCCTGGGTGCGGACCAGGCCTGAAGAAGGATCAGAAGTCTGGGGTCACCACCTGACCCGGGCACCTTGGCGCTGAGCAAGCTCTCTGGGGGATTCTGACACTCGGGACTCCTTCCTGCACGCTCCTCTCCTGCCCCCCCCCCCACTCCCCACACACAGTCCCCCAAACAAGGAGCAGAGGGCCCACTCCCCACCAGCAGGAGGCCCACCGGGGGCCTTAGAACAAGCTGGACGCTGCCTCCGCCCTTTGGGCTGGGACTTCCCCTTCCACAACTACCTGTGCACCTGGTCCGTGCCAACACAGCCGCACGGCCAGGGCCCGCACCGAGGGAGCTGGCGCCAGCAAGGGGCACGCGGGCGGCAAAGCAGTCCCCACCGCGCCGCCCCTAATAAGGGCGCGAGGAAAGGAGCCCGGCCGACTCGCTCCCTGACAGAAACTGTTCCACGTCTCCAAAGGCCTTTAAAAATAGCCCAGCCCAGCACCACCAGGCCGGCTCCTAACAGGGTCTTGTTGACGCAGCATCTCCCAGAATGGGCCGATCGGCCTGGGGCGAGGGGGGTGGACTGAAGGCCTTGCCAAGGCCCCTTCCCAGGTGGCTCAGAGCAGAAACCCACACGGGGCGCACAGAAGAAGAGCCCCCCTGACTTCGCGGCGTGAACTCTGAAGACGTGTAACTTCGGAGACAGGCCTGCGTTCAAGTCCTGGTACCACCTAGAGACCGGCCGGGGGATCCCGGCAGGCTGCTCACCTGTCCGAGCCTTAGTTTCCCCATCTGTAGAAGGGGACAGTACCAGCGCCCCCCACGCCCAGGGCTGCTGGGAGGATGCGAGGTGCTAACCACGCAGAGTTCGGCGTGTGACGTGCCCAGCAGGCAGAGAGCCTGGTCTCCTTCGGCTCACAGGCGGCTCCCCTGCCCCAGCACGATGGGGCCCCCCCACCAGTGCAGCCCAGGCCCACATTTCCCCGAGAAGCCCACCGCGCCCTCTGCCCCCCAGGGCACAGGAGCCCGGGGAGTGCCCCTGCAGCCCAGCCCGCCTGCTCACAGCTGTGGGCCGCATCTGGACAAGCCCGAAGGAAGGCCCAGCAAACCTCACAAGACAGCAGCCAGACTGGGGAGGGCCCCCGCCCTGGATAGAGGATAAGAGCAGTGAGGAAGGAGCCCCCGGTCCTCGCTCGGAGCCTCCCCATTTGGGGAGCAGCTCCCTGGCGTTACAAGCTCCTTGCTGCAGCATTCCACGGGGGAAGGGCCGGGACCTCTTGGCCGACCGGCGCCCACTCAGGAAAGCCCCCTTTGCTCCAAGCACATGGGGGCGAGGGGCACGGAGCTGCAGCCTGGGCTTGGACAGACCCGCAAACGTGCCCGGAAGACCCAGGGAGGAGGGTGTGTGCGCACAGCCGGCGGGGCGCAGGGGTTGTGCAATGCACCAGCGGAACCTGCCTCCCGGGCCTCCATCATCTCTCGGGGCTGGCTGGCCCAGGGAGGGTGCAGGGGGCCTGGACTGGGCTCCGAATTCCAGCCCGAGGCCAGGGCCACGGCCTCCCTTCGAGTCAGACACACGGGCAGTGGCCCTGCCAGAGGATGGGCCGTCCCTCGTCCCATCCCCCAAAACGAAAACGGGTGGGTCAGGACCCAGTGCTTCAGTCCCCCCCGCCTGCCAGAGCATCTCCCAAGAGGCTGCAGCGGGGAGAGAAGCAGGTATGGAGAGCCTGGAGGTGCAGGGGGCTGTGGCGCTGGGAGGTGGGGAGACACACTGGGGCGGACCTAGAGAGAGAAGGCTGATATTGACAGACCCTCCTCTCTTAGGGATGACCCCGGAGGGTTACACCATGAGATCGGCCAGGTCACCCACGGCTGCATAAACCCATTCCCCAGTTTGGCTTATGGAGGGAGAAGGGAGGAGACTGATGTCGGAGCCAAGAAGTCAGCCTGTAAATACAACAGGGCGCCGGGGACCCTGGGCCGCCCCCGCTACCACCAGTCTCTGACAGGCCTCGCCGCCACCACCGCCGCCGCCACCGCCCAACACACACGATCGGGGCCTGGGAGGGGGCGACAGGCCAACCTCGCAGCAGCAGCAGCGGCGGCGGCGGCGGCGGCGGTGGCATCGTGATGCATGAATCACCCGCCTCGCCACGCTTGTGCCTTCGGCTCCCCGCAGCCGGAACCACCTGGCAACCGGGCGCCCCCTGCCGGGACCACCGCCCCCGGCCCGCGCACGCCGCTGCCCTTCGCGACAGCCGCCGAGAGGGGCCTGCGGGTGGGTTAGGGCTTTCCGTCTCGGCCAGGGGGTGGCCCCGCGCACCCTTGACAGGCGACACACGGCCGGGCGTGGGGTGCTGGATGCCCTGGAACAAAAGGGCTAAGTGTGCGGCCGGCGCCGCGGCCCGGGGCTTCCGAGGGGCCGGGGCAAAGGCAGGGCAGGGGACGGCCGAGGGCGGGCTGCGGCGCGCCGGCGGGCGAAGCGGGCCCGGAGCCGGGACGAAGGGGCTGGGGGCGACGGGGCTGGGGGGAGGGGGGCGGGGGTCCGCCGCGCGCACTCACAGTAGGTTTTCCTGGTCAGCTCCTCCACAACTTCGGGCTTCAACTTGCTGTTGGATTTCCCCATCCTCGGCGGCCGCGGCCCCCGCCCCCGGGCCGGACCCCGGCGGGACGCTCAGAGGGAGCGACTCGGCGGGCGCGGGCCGGGGCGGCCGGGGCGGGGCGCGCGGAGGCCGGCGAGCCGGGCTGGGCCGAGCCCCGGCCGCGCCTTTGTCTGCGCCGTGCCCGCGCGGCCCGGGCGCGGGGCTCCGGGGCGCTGCGCTGCGCTGCGCGGCTGGCGGCGCCTGGGCCGCCCTGGGCGCGGCGCGGGGCCCGGGACGCGGGACAGCCGCTGGGCAGGCCCAGCCGTCCGTCGGCCGCCGCCCTCTCCGAGCGCCGCGGCGCGAGCTGCGCTGGGCCGGGCGCCGGCGCGGCCGCGGTGTTGCCCGGTCGTCCCTGGTTACTGGGCTCCGCGGCACATGCTCGCTGCTGCGCGCTCTGCGCCGCCCCTGCGCTCCCCGCCTCCCGCCTCCCGCCCGCACCAGCGCGCCAGGGGTGGGCCCGGAGCCGCCACTCATCCTCGGGCGCCACCTCCCGCCCCGCACCCGCCCCGCCGGGCCTGCGCCTGCGGAACCTCGGCCCCGGGGGCGCAGCGGAGGTCACCCCTCCACCCGCCTTGAGTCGGTCTGGGGCGCTCCGGAGGGCACCCCCCCACCCCCAACACCCCCCCAAGGAGCGGGCCCGGCCCAGAAGATCTGACGTGGATGAGGCCAAGTGTGTGCCCGGCGAAATTCATTCATTCGACACGGATTAGTGGGGCGCTGGGGACACAGCGGCGAACAGTGCAGGCGAACGGGGGTGGGGCGGTCACTGCTCTTCAGGATGCCAGAGATTATGGTGGGGGCGCCTACCACGGCCTGGGGGAAGGTGACCCCCGAGCCTCGGGGGAGGAGGTGGGTGATCAAGGCCCAGGAAACCTGGAGGAGGGAAGGAGGCCTGAGCCCAGGGGAGACTTTTCCCTGCAGGGAGCTCCAGGGGCGGGGCAGGTGGGATCAGTGGCCAGAGAGAAGGGGGAGGGCCCAGGGGCAGGCCTACCCCCGCCCCGAGGAGCCGGGCCTCTGGGATTTCGGGCGGGAGGTGCCAGGGTCAGACCCTCCTTCCCTGCTTCCCGGGCCTCGCTGCGGGGTGCGCGAGCAGGCAGCAGGCGCTGGGCGGGAGCTGAGGCCCGGGCCCGGGCCCGGCCCCACCTGGATGCGCGGAGGCTGGGGGTTAGGGGAGGTCCGGCCAGGGGAGGAGCCCGCCCAGCCACCCCTGGCCACCATGTCTACAAGGTCAGCGCTTTGGGACTCTCCCTACCCCACTCCCAGCTTTGTTTTACTCCTCGCAGAGGTATGGACGTTGTTTCATTGCTGTGCTGTCGCCGTCTCCCCCGCTGGAATAGCGCCCCCCACCGGTGCAGGGATGCTCGTCTTGTTTGCAGTTGTGTCTCCCGCCCCTGCAAGGCCCTGGACTTGCCCTGGCCCCTCCACTGACCTGGAGCCCGAGGAAAGGAGAGCGGCGCCGGGGGGGCTTGAGAGGACCGATGGGGCCGAGGTCAGGTGCGGACGGGGTCTCTCTCTCTCCCGGCAGACCCCGGGGTCCGGGGAGCCCAGAGGAGCTGTGCAGAGTGTGGTTGGTTCTCGGCCCCCAAACACCACCCCCACCGCCACGCAGGCTCCCTTCTGGCTTTGCCCCAGGCCCCAGGGGGCCGGCTGGTGAGGGAGGACCTACTGCCCAGCCAGCGCTGGTTCTACGAGAGAAGTTGGGGATGGGGAGGGCACGGGCCCGGAGAACCGGCGCTGGGTCACAGCTGGAGGGACTCCGTCTCCGCTTGGGAACAGGACTGCCCAACTGCGGGGACGCTGACTCAGAATGGACACCAGTGGGGGGCCCACGGCGAGGGGCGCCGAGTCGGCCAGGCTGGCCTGGGCATCCTGCCTGGGAGGCCGGGAGTCTGCAATGTCCACCTGTCAGGAGGACAGTGACAGCATTGAAGACCTACAGGAACCCAGGTGCTTCTGAGTATGTCCTGCCCCCTGCCCAGGTGCCAGGCGCTGCCGTGACCGAGGTGGTCCTCATCCTTGGGCAGCTCACAAACCCCACCCCCCACCCCTCGGCCTGCCTCCCACTGGTGACAAACTCCACAAGGGGAATGGAGAGGGACCTGGGGGACCAGGCACAGAGGCACCTGTTGGGGGGAGTCAGGGAGGTTCCTGGGGGTTACAGCTTATCCAGGGGAGGTCGACACAACAATAAACAGAAGTGCAGAGTGTCAGAAGACATCAAACTGAGGCAGGGGAGGGGCGGGGCAGGGCCGGGGCAGGAGAGGCTCACGGAGAAGGGGCTGTTCGAACCCGGACCCGGGGAAGAGGGAAGCCTGCGGAGGGCCCCCTCGGGCCACCTGCTCTCCCGCCCCGTCTCCCGGTCCCTCTGGGCAGCGGCCACCCCGCCGGGCCCTGCGGGAAGTCTCCACACCCGCACCCGCGTGGCCACTGAAACTCGACTCGTGGGCTGTCCACACAGAATGCACACCGGACTTCGGAGGGCTGCACACAGCAGAGAGAGTACAATGGAGCTCATTCATATTTTTAAAAAATATAGGATTGTGCCCTGGCTGGTGTGGCTCAGTGGGTTGAGTGCTGGCCTGAGAGCCAGGGGGCATCGCCGGTTCGATTCCTGGTCGAGTCCTGTGCCTGGGCTGCTGGCCAGGTGCCCAGTTGGGGGTGCGGAAGACAGCCACACACAGACGTTTCTCTCCCTCCCTCCCTTCCTCCCTCCCTTCCCCTCTCTCTAGAAATAAATAAATAAACAAAATCTTTTTTAAAAAATATGATTATATATTACACTGATGGGTTTTGATATAGATGAACTTTATTATTAAAACATATTCCACTTGTTTCTCTTAATATGTTTTCTTTTTTTAAGATTTATTTCTTTATTTTTAGAGAGAGAAGGGAGAGAGAAAGAGAGAGAGAGAAACATCAATGTGCGGTTCCTGGGGGCCATGGCCTGCAGCCCAGGTATATGCCCTGACTGGGAATCGAACCTGCGATGCCTGGTTCGCAGCCTGCGTTCAATCCACTGAGCTACGCCAGCCAGGGTTGTTTCTCTTAATATTTGTTAAGTGCCCACCGAAAACTTTAAGCAGCACATGCGGCTTGGATGGTGCTTCCGATGGACAGCACCGTCTTGCACACGTTTCAAGTCTCCTTTCAAACCTCACCTCCGTGGAGCCTTCCCGGACCCCCGCAGTGAGCCTGAGGCCCAGCGTTCACATCCACCCACACAGCACCTGCCCCCGGGGGTTTGCGGGAGTTTGTGTGACGTAAGGACTTCCTCAGACAGACCTTGTTAAGCCCCCTAGGAACGGGGGTATGTCCAGGGTAGAGTCAGCTGTCAGGGGTGAGGCGGGGAGGGTGCTGGCCCAGTGTGGGGAGGAGGGAGAGCATCAGGGGTCCCACTGACCCCCACCATGGAGCACAAGGCTCAGTCCGGGTACTGCCCTCACGCACCCTGCGGCTTTGGGCAAATCACCTCTCATCTTCTCACGGGGAAGGGTCTATAAAGACAGAAATGCTTTGCGCAGGTGCGTGGCAGCGTTACTCTCCTCGACCCATGAAGAAGTTTCTCGGCTCATAAGAAAAAGATGAGCCCTCCGTGGAAGGCTGGGGAGAGAACCAGAACAGGTAACACAAAAGCAATGGCCACCGCCCGTCCCCAGGAGAGGCGCCCCTTACCAGTCAGAGAAGCGGGAGCGGACTGGGAGGGGGGAGCATTAGAGCTCACGGGAGCACCCCGGATCGGCCGAGGGGCGGAAAGCGGGGCCTGCAGGCTGCCGGGCGGGTGCTGCGGGGACGGCCTCTCTGAAGGGCAGGCGGGCACCGAACGGCCGTATCCCCTGACGCGGCAATTCCGCTCTGGGAAATGACCCTGCGCCGACACCCGAGATCTGCCCAAATGCCAGGGCTCAGCGACGGGACTCCAGCAGCAGGTAAGACAGCGATGGAAACACGGAAGCGACCTCCGTGTCCGAAATGAGGGACGAGGCCGCGGCACCACGGGGTCCTGGACCGCCACAGGAGGCTCTAGCACGCCGGAGACCGCCTCCCACGGCACTGTGCGCCCACGGCATGCTCAGCACAGAAAGGTTCCCAAAACCTGTGGAACCACCCCAGCCGTGTGTGTGTGTGTGTGGAGGGGGTGTACATCGCTGTGTATTTTCATTGCCGTTTCTTAAAAGATTTTTAAAATTTTATTTATTTATTATTTTTTAAAATAATTGGTTATCGCCCAGGATATTTTTTCTTGTGTCTTGTGTTTTTTTCTTGCTTTCTTTTTTTAAAGATTTTATTTATTTATTTTTAGAGGGGGAAGGGAGGGAGAAAGAGAGAGAGAGAGAGAAACATCAATGTGCGGTTGCTGGGGGCCGTGGCCTGCAACCCAGGCATGTGCCCTGACTGGGAATCGAACCTGTGATGCTTTGGTTTGCAGCCCGCGCTCAATCCACTGAGCTACACCAGCCAGGACTCTTAAAAGATTTTTTAAAATTTATTTTTAGAGGGGAGAGAAATATCGATGTGCGGGAGATGCGTAGACTCAAGGGTGTTACGTTCAAGCTCGCCTCGTGCCTGCTGTGTGGCCTGGTTCCCAGTAGGCCCAGACCGACACTGGTCCGCGGCTCAGAGGCCGGGGACCCCTGGTGCAAAGAACCCTAAACTAAACCCGGAGTCCGAGCAGGAGTCCTGGCTGCGGGACCTGGGGCCAGGCGCGTGGCCTCTGAGCCTCAGTTTCCTCATGTGTGAGTCGGAACCTCCATGCGCCGCGCTGGGGAGCCCGCTGCCTCGCCGGGCTATTTACGGGCCTCGAAATGGGGCTCCCCCAGTGCAGAAGGTGCGGCTGTGACGTGGAGCAGCTGGGCAAGTGGGTTTGTGAATGAGAAACAGGTGCAGAGCCCATCTGGGCTGGGGATAAGCCCCCCTCCTTGGCTCCCTCCGGCACCCTGGAAGCGAGAGGGGAGCTCTTGCTCCCGGGCCCGTGGCCGCCATGCTGCCCAACCACCACGAACAGCAGGTCCCTGGTCCCTGCCCCCCCTCACTGCCCGGTGAGCCTGGGGACACACGCGGCCTTTGAACGTTACCTTCCTCGGGGAAGCTGTCAGTGGGGTCTCGGGTGAGGAGTGGGCAGCTGGCCACGTGCCTCTGTCCCGGCTAGGGACACGGTGAGCTGGGGCTCAGTGTCCCCCGAGGGCAAAGGGGAATGGGCTCTGTTCTCTAGATCTTGCCTGTCCTTTCCACCCCCACTAAGGGCTCCTTCCTGGGTCTGAGGGAGGGCCAGCGAGTCCTCGCTCGCCCCTGCACCAGCTGAAATGAAAGGGAGCCTCACCGGAGGGGCAGGAGACAAGCCTGGCACCAGCACCTCGGGTCGG